ACACACACACACACACACACACACACATGCACACACGCACGCACACGCACGCACGCACGCACGCACGCACACACGCACGCGCACACGCACGCGCACATGAACACGACAGTTCCCATAGAAAGATTAGATTAGTTTAATTTGAAATTTCCCTTTTAATTTCGATAACGTCTTTTGTGCCCTATGTGTGCAGAGAGCCACATGTTATACATCTGATGTTACCCGAGCGTTCTTCATTTAATCTTAATTAGAGGAAAATGGAACTATATTTGCGTAAGAAATTGAGCAGCAATCCGAATAAAAATGTTGGAGATTTCCTCGGACAAACAATCGTACGGCGATTTCACTTAACTGCTCCTATTACTATGTCTAATGGCCATAACGCTTGGTCACTTAACCACAAAACTACAACATGCAACCTAATGCATCTTACATGCATCTCCAAACCATTTCGAATGATTTACGTGTAGACATACATTACTTATAGCACAAATATCACGCACATATGCACACACGCGCAATCCCCCAACCCATCGTCGTAATGCCGTTCGCACGAAATGATTTACCCATTGTTTTGTATTCCACAACACGCTTTCCCCGAAAAGCCCATCGGCTACATTTCATTCTCTGCCTGAAAATTTCTGATATGAATATTATTTGTCTGCTTTTTGTGTTTATGGCGAAGCAAATGGCTCGCTGCAGAATAATAATATATTAATCGTTTCTATTTGATTTATGAATTATGAGAAGTTTAATATTGTGAAGGGATTTAGAAAATGATTATTGCCTTTAAAATTTGAGCTTTATGCAGGATCAAGCGTATATGAAGCTGGCAACCTCGCCGAGTTTGATGGATTGGTAAAGTTTAACAGAATTTAGCTGCGAATAAGGAGATGTAATTATATTTTCTTCATAAGCAAGTTTTGCTATTAATTTTCAGCCGTAGAATTGCACAGATGCACTTACGGGTTTCCCCTCATTTAATCATCGGAAACAAAGCAGTGACGGATGATTCCAAGCTGAAAGCCTTCAAATTGAAATTTATAAGCTCTTTCATTTATTTCACGGGGTCGCCATGGTTTCATTGCCAAGCACAGTTCATGACTATGCTGATTGTACATTCTCTTATACGCGGCTCTAAACAACCAAACTCTACTCGATTAGAAACATTTCAAGGCTCTTAAGAATGTAACGATACCACGGCTAGCTTTATCGAAGTCTCATCCAACATTAATATGATCACATATCTACATTGTGCGACAGCAAAGTTGGGCTTGAATGCCCCCTTGAACCACCATCCCTTCCACTTCACGGAAACACACTAAATTGCACAGCTGCAGACGTCACTGCAAGCACGCATTATATACGCTCGTTTAAATATTCTCTCTTGTGAGTCGACATGGATATATGCGTAAAGCTGGATTAGCACAAGGAGAATTGACGCGAAAAGCGTAATTGATTCATATTGCACACACTCGACTGCCAATACATGAAAACAGTAAAACTGCAGATGTAATGACGTAGGCAGACAAACAATGCGAGCAACACGCCAGCAACCTGTAATGATGACAACGACGAGAATGCCTATTAATTGCTGTCGTGAAACAGTAGTTATGCCACTTGAGATTATTACTGGTACGAATCACTCACGCAGCATGCGTACAGAGCAAGACTATATAAAATATCATTCGAACAATGCAGACATACGTATTTATAGATTTGTATCAGGTACTTAATTACAAGCATCGTTTAATTACACAGATGCACTCATTTTCTTACTATGCATACGTGAGTCTGATTACCATTGATTAAAACATAAGCACCAGCGACGCTATTAGAATTAGATATAACAATTGTAGTCACTAATATATTAAAAAAAAAAAAAATCCAAACACATGGGACGTAGGCGCATTGGAAAAATTTACATTTATGTTTAAAAATGGTACAGAAATATTTGAGAGGTTCTGTATAGGCCTATACTTACCTGAACGGGGCGAGAAATTAGCATTCAGCTTTAATAGTTCACCAAGAAAGACTACACAAAGGAAATGAGTAGGTAATACCACCCCAATGCAGCTAGCTAGAACCAATAGCCACTGAATGAACGAACCTAACGCAAGGCGCATGCTAATTCTGGACAAATGCAGATGCAGAGAAAGAGAGACAGACAAATATTTCGGTTATTAACAATTAATGAGGGATGCAGTAAGAGAGGTAAATGTTTTGGTTACTAACAATTTAGGACAAAGGCAGATACGGAGGAGATAAGTGCTTTGGTTAATATATTGGTTTAGGAGTTGAATACTCCTTCCCCAATTAAGCTAAGATTTGCTTCTGTACACTGCACTGCCGCAGTGGGATGCTTTGCACTACGAAGCGTTTAAACACAATCATACATATTTACACGAATTGGAAAACAGCTTTATTAAATAACAAGAGTGAAGTTGTCCAATTTCGAGAGGCTTGGGTCATGTTTGCCCGAAATCTGACATCTGTAGAGCTAGTAAATTAAATCACATAATGCACACGCTAAACGTGTTCCATGAGGGTATATGCAGCCAAGGTAACAGTTCAGACCAGATCAATATAGACTGCAGATGTTTTCAAAACGTTATTCCTAAGATTGCCTATGGATCACTGACTGGCCATACATGGCCTATGTGCGTTTACAGGGGAGTTCTTTCTAGTAATGACTACTAATTCACTATAGACTGCCATCCTAATGGCACTTTGTAATGCACCTATGCAATAGTGAGATATAGCTCATACATACATAATGATAATATGTATGTATGAGGCTGAGCTATTTCTCACGCCGTGCCTTCGTAGGCATTACTCGAAAGAGTGCCCCGCTAATCGCGGATAGGTCATGTATTCGGAATCAGTAATGCGTGATAAGTAGTCCGTGATAATATATATTATCAAGAGCTAATAATACCTGTATTATTAGCTCTTGCTATTATATACATAGCTATATATAGCTCATCAGACGCACGAGTCTTGTCCACTGTTCCCAATACATGCCAAGCATCACAATAACCAAGTAAAGTGATTGGGCAAAATGTTGCCTGTGATCAGTGATGCTTTTTAACATTGTATTACTATATATGATACAGGATATCCCATAAACATATCTTTTGTTTTCATTGTGTAGCTTACAATGTTGACAATATAATACAAAACAAAACAATACATTACAATACAATACAAGTACAATACAATGTTAAAAAGCAGGTGCCCCACAGGTCATAGAGTCATATGACAGTGTCAGTAGCCAGTGTATACACATGAAGCCTGTTGCCAAAATGTAGCCTGGTGCCTATATGTAGCTGATGCCTACATGTACTCAGCACGTATAAATGTACCTCTACGTGTAGCCCCATGCCTACATGTAGCCTGAGACCTTCGTGTAGTCCGATGCCTACATAGACCGCGGTGCCTACATGCAGCCTGCCGCTGTCAGGTTCCTACATGGAGCTCAGTGCCTACATGTAGGCCACTGCCAACTTGTATTTCAATGCCTATAGTGCCTATACTACACTACATAACATGTATAAATCAGAGCCTGCCTACATGTAGCCCGATGCAGCTACACTACAGAACACAGCTCGGTGCCGTTGGGATCATGTAATGTCATGGGACGTATCGCTGATTGAGACCGATGAGGATCAAGGAGGATAACTAAGCTGAGTTTTCACTAAAACTACGGTGACGTGTATGTACATCATGTGTGCGAATGAAATCTACATCATGCGATGAAATATTCTGCCAGCGCCGCGATGACGATCGAGTTCGCGCAATTGGAAGCTGCGAGTTACGGCGGCAGATATGATTATAATATTAGTCAGACGTACAATCACAGGCACTTGGAACGTCTCAATAAAACCAAATGTAAACACGAAATATATTTACTACCAAATTCTCTACTCTATTTCGCCTATTATTGCCGATAACTTGCTCTAAATTCCGTTCATATGACAACAATTCAACAACATTGAAGAAACAATAAGAAACAACATGAACAAGAGAGTCTTACATAAGAGATGAACTCTCTTATTCATGTTGTTTGTGCACAGGGCGGGCGTGCGGTGTACTTGTGTGTTGCAGATGAGCATTTGAACGGCATTTACAGCAAGTTATCGGCAATAATAGGCGAAATAAAGTAGAGAAACATTAAGACTTTGGTAGTAAATACATTTCGTGTTTTCATTTTTTTTTATTGAGACGTTCCAAGTGCCTGTGCGTACAATCAACGTCGTTCATCCGAAATTGAGTTACATGTACAACACGCGGATAATGCTGCGCAGTGTTGTTATATCCCTTTATAAAAGGGCACACGTATAACGTATCAGAACGGAAAATGTACTCACGTTTGCAAGGCTTTGGATGAAGTTGTTTTCGCCGGGACATTGCAGAGTATTTGCTCACCTTACGTTTCTAACCTAACGTCAACATCGCCGCCACAACAAATGCTATGCGCGGATGCCATGCGTACACGGAGACACAGGCGAGACCTGACAGGGATGATCGAAAACTGGATTGTATACACGCCGGCGCACCGACGCGGCCGCGGCCCGCGACGATACCTTTACCAAGATAAAATAATGTAACCAAACAGACTCGAGTACTATATTAACCGTACTTTATTGGGTTACATTACTGTATCTAACATTTTCCCAGCTTTCTACAACCACAACGTGCGCAGTAACTGAGTTTCTACCAGAGATACGCGAAAAGGATGCGAAATTATAAGGCTATTGTACACGCTATCACCTAATATATTTACATATAATTTGCGTATATTTAAGTTTCTTCTAACTGCTACTCAAATATGAGTTGTTATGTAAATAATGTTTTACAGTTGTCTGTTGGTGTTAAGTGTCAAATTTGTATTTCATCTTCCTCAATAAGGATATCATTGTGTTCATTAATATCAGTAGTTTATTGTTCTTCATTGTGCATTTTTATACATATTACATATACATATATAACTTATTGTTTCAATCGTTTTGCCTTGTCGCATATCGTATATCACATTTAATCAATTGTGTGATAAAATTCACGTGTGTGAGAAGTCCGAATGGAAAACTGAATAGTCAATTCGCCCTCACTCACTGGATTTACTAGCAAATTATTGTGATATATATATGTGATTATTTTACATGCTGATAGCGTAAAAAAAAAAATTTTAATCTGAAATCTCTGCTGGGAAAGGGGGGAATTAGTAAAATCTCTGTTACTCGCCGTTTGACCTGTACGTACCTTCACAAGGGCGGAACCAAGGTTTCCAAATTGCTGATGGGGGGCACACGTAGTTGATTTTTCAGTGAGTTTCTCTTCCTCTACCCCTCTCGCTCACTCACTCGCTATTATATATTGTACTCGGTTTTTTTCCATTGGAAATTTTGCCTCAGATATATTATCACCTATATATCAAAACATGTATGTATCTTCACGTATGAATACGATTTATAATTAACCAGGACATCAATATTTATGATATCTTCCCTTGTACTTCGCATAATTATACGGTATAACTAAATGTAAATATCTATGACATATTGTATTAGCATTTCCAATTTAATTCCTTAAAAATTCGTTAAAAACGTTTGTAGATTGATCTTTAAATGTTTTTGCTGAAGAACATATGCTACTTAATAGCACATGCCTAAACATGTTATGATTATTCAACATAAATTACAAACAATATTTATCCAGTGTAGTGTTATATTGAGAATACATCTGAGGTCTTACAATAGGAAAGTACAACAAATGCCAGCTTTTCCAATACAAAACTATTGGCAAAATTATTCTATAACACATCTCAATTAAAATATATTTACTAGATTCAGTAATGTACAATATTAACGACATATTACTGTGACGTTACTCTCTCAATGTTCAATATAAATACGTGTTTTCATTTATATCAAATGAATTTTTCCTAAAAATAAAAAACGGCTAATTATAGTTACAGTTTTAGTGTTATTTCATTTACACTCCACTATAGAAACGACAAGAGAAGTAACCAAAACTATAACTGACAAGCAATAAAGTTCTTGTACTGACTGTAGAAAATACAATCATACATCACACAACTATATCAACAGAAATATTTACATGAAAGCATGAGAAAAAGCTATTGATTTGTCACGTGAAGATGGCACCAAGTGATTTCTATCCACATGCATTGATATCATCATGACTAACATCCTAATGTTATGCGTATGTACGGCCACTATCACAACATTACTATGTGTATTGTGACAATTGCACACAGAAATTTGTAACAATGTTGTGACATCACTTGTCAGGTGCTGTCACTCGATCCCATGCTTGTGCCTTTATGACATGTGACATCACTTTCTGACCCTGGCATGGCAGTGTGTTACATCACATTATAACATGCTTCCATGTGTCATCACCTTCTATCTTCCGTACGTGTACATGTGAGGTATTCAGGTGTGACATTACACTCCCATTTGTCTGACATACTACCCTGACTCCTACGCATGTGATATCGCATTCAGATTACCATATGAGTGACATCACATTCAGAATCCCGTACGTGTGGCGTCACATGCACACTCCCATGTGCGTGATGTCACATTCCCACTTCTGTGTTCGTCACATCACATTCACACTCCCGTACACGTGATGTCTCACTCCCCACTCCTATACGTGTCGTCACACTCACGCTCCTGTACGTGTGATGACACACTCACACTACCGCACGTGTGACGTCACACTCTCACTCCCATGCGCGCGACGTCACGTTATCACTCCCGTGCGAGTGACGTCACATTCACACTACCACACGCGTGACTTCACATTCACACTCCCATATGTCTAACGTCACTTTCACACTCCCACACGGTTGACATCACATTCACTCCCGTACACGTAACGTCATATTCACACTCACACACGTGTGATGTCTCATTCACTCATATGCTTGCCATCACATTCACACTTCCCTAGGCATGACATTACATTCACACTCCCCTAGGCGTAACGTCACATTAACAATTCCACATGCATGCCAATGTCGTACATGACATGACATTCAGACACCTTCCTGCAGGTCACTTCACAACGTATGGCATCACGTTACGACTTTGGTGGGTGTAACACAATCACGACGTCACCACATTCCGATGGCTGTGCTATGGCTGTCAACATGGGTGTCACATTGCAATGACATCACCTTCCGCTGACCACATCACAGCTGTCAACGTGGATGTCACACCGCCACATCATCACGTTCTGTCGACCACGTCACAGCTGTCAACGTAAATGTCACACCGCCACATCATCACGTTCCGTTGACCACGTCACAGCTGTCAACGTAAATGTCACACCGCCACATCATCACGTTCCGTTGACCACGTCACAGCTGTCAACGTAAATGTCACACCGCGACGTCATCACGTTCCGTCGACCACGTTAGAGCTTTCTACGTTCGTATCCTCATCATGTTCGTCCGGCACATGAACTGTCACCATGTGCGTGTCATCCGGGTCACTGCCGTCCACTCCCAGTCCTTCCGTGTCCTGCGTCAGCTGTATCACCTGTAAGAGACGGAGCGTAATCAAAACAATGCGTGCAAAGCATTGTGGTCTTTAAACCGTGTTCACGAGTTAGAATTGTCTAATACTGTTGTGACAAGCAAGTGGGAAAATTAAGTAATTCTATTAAAATATATAATTTTGCTAAATTACATAATTCTGTTAAAATACATAATTCTGTTAAAATACATGAACATACTCCTTCCTACACACTGTATGAGTACCACAAATTACCAAAAATATATCGTAGCGAGAGAGGATTAAAACAAAGAGTGCTGCAGAAAATGGATCTTGAGCTTGATTATGAACACTACCTGAGTTGTTCCATCCTCGCCTAGAATCTGTATATGCTGTGTCGACTGCTGTAGCTGTGCAATCTGTTCTGGTGTTGCGTGAAAGACCTGAAAACACATCAAGGTACTGGGTATTTTGCACCCGTTACCGTCTTGCTGGGATGCAAATCCTCCCTTCAAAGCACGAAAATCCAGCAACCTCATTATCAGCACTATCGGCATTTCATTATTACAGTGGTTTATTAAATTTAAAGCACATTACAGACAGCTATTACAGCGGTTGCAACTACGAAGTCTATAACAGTAGAACATCCGATCACATCTCACACACAGTTAGGGGTTGCCTACGAGTTACACCGCTAAACTTTATTCTATATCGGTAAGGATAGTGTGCCAACAGTAACTCGCACCCTAAATATTAGCACTACTCTGTAAATATTTCCAGCAGTAACTGTCACTGTCGACGGAGAAACGGACGGATACGGAACAATGTCGACGGCTCTCCCGGATCAGTAAATGCTGGCTAAATTCTTCGCTAGCAAGTTATCCGAGCCTCACGCCAACGCGACGAACCTGCAGCATTTGTCCGTTTGCCTCGACGATGGTGCCATCTTGCAGCTGGTCTTCTCCTTCCCCCTGCGGGAGGAGGAGGGCTTCATCTCTCTCTATCTCTAGGCCATCGTTGCTGCTCTCACCGCCTGTATAAGAAGACACCGAGGTTGAAAAACAAATGCCGATGTCATTCCAACATTTACATGGTCTACGTCGTCGTGGGAAGATTAGCTGATGAGGCCAGCAACGATTTCCTATCTGCTGTAACCTGTTCTTCCGTGTGAAAATCACGCTGATTGAGACCTATAATCGAATTAAAAATCTCATTACACGACTATACTGCATTTGTACCAAAAGCCTAAAAACAATTTACCTCGCCAGACGTTCTATATTAATGTAAACAAGAAGTCATTGAACACGGTCTTATGGGAAGAACCTTAAAACCTAATGTAATGTAAACACATATAAACATGAAGATATAACCCGGTTTGTTTAGCTAAATATAGCCATTTGTTATCAGCCTATTATATTATAAGTTCACGTATTCAACAATTCGACTTGACAAAATAACTATCTCCCTTACGTGAATATATAAAGTAACCAATCTATAATATATTACAGTTCTATATAATTATTATAGCTATTTTTCTAAAGGGTTTGATGCCCTCAACATGATACAAGTATATACAGTGTAATGAAATTCTCTGTGATGTTCGTAAATTAGATGATTAACTTATAGATTAAAGGTCCCTGCCACAACTTCCACAGCAATCCCGTATGAATTTTATATCACATAAAAATGTGCTTTTATAGAGTTTCATAGATTTGCTTCAAGATTTGAATACAAAATAAAATTTAACTAAACGCACTGATATATATACGCTTCAAAACATTAAACAGTAGAGATAAAAAAGGAAATTAATATTACAGATTTGCTTTCATATTATAATATTACATTAAATTTAATTATTTTCACATATTGGAATAATAGTCTTAATTTACAACAAAATTAATTTTACTGGTTTTGTAGCTTTCGAGCTTTCACGGTCTTAGATAAAGGTTTCCCTGTTCTGAACTGGTGACATTTCAGTCAGTAATGTTATGGTTGTCTTTGACTGTCATTATTTTCTTTCAACAAGAATTTATCATTGGTACTAAGGAACCAACCGTTCACGTTATCACACCTTATGTACACTGTATACATTGGAGAGGAGAGAAGGAGATTAACTCCCATTGTATGCAGACACATACATGTTGATCAGGAGTTAATAATGACAAATGTTTGTCATTATTAACTCCAGATATTGATTCATACCTACCTGCCATATCTGATAAATTACCATTATATGTTACATAATTTCAAGGGAGAGTAGTCATGAAAACGTGTACATACGTATATATATATATATGCGGGTTGTTTGTGATAATATTCATAACTGAACGGCCCCCTAATGTTGTACCATTTCCTACAGTTGAAGTTGGAAATTTGTCTTAACCAACGAGTTCCCCTGAAAAACATATCCATGTTAATTTCTATATTATCGCATAAATATCAGCTATTCTGCTATCTCTTTTCGGTGTTTAATAATGTCTATATACTATCAATTTAATTGAATGGAGATATATGTCATTATTGAAACACAGGTTAATATAACTTGCAGATGAACCAAAAAACATGGCAATTACTAATTGTGAAATGGCCTAGCACAAGCGGCAGTACGACTGTATGCGACAAGGATATGTTCAAATACATCTCCTTCTTGGACATATTATCTGGCCTATTTCAACTACAATGAAATGTTGTTTTCAGTGACTGCTGCATCAGTGATGGCCGGGTATGGAGTCCCAAACTTTCCCTACCCATGTACTTCACTCACACACTTATAACCGTATCGCATATAAGTAATTAACAAGTGAAACAAACTACAAATTCAAATAAAATCCACTCCAAATGATTTTGACAGGTTTGTGCGGTTACAACACACAAAGATTCATTTTCGCGGAGCCTCACCACTGCTTCCACCTCGTTCTCTCTCCACATTTCCAAACCATCCCTCTCTACGCGCACACTAACTCTCCTCCTAGGTTGCCGACTGTACTCTGTCAATAGCATTGCTCTTATCAACAGGCAGATCTAGTGCTGGAGCAGTCAGCCAGACAACGAGATAGCGAGCGCTGATAAGCAAGCCTGCTGCAGATGCTGTGGAACGATAAGCGGTGCCACGGGGGTTTTTATCTCTTCGGCTTATCTGCTGCAGACCGTGCGGTAGCCGATAGGCTGCAGTAGCAACAGCAGCAGCAGTAATCTTCAAGCCGCCAACCTGGACCGTGCTGACAGATGCAGAGGGGGAGGTTAACGCTACCGGTGTTACGCGATGGCGCAGGCTCGCATCGTGTAGAGCGGTGGGTAGGGTGGGGCGGTTGGGGGGGGGAAGGCGGGGGGGGGGTTAATGCCCGCGGAGATTTTAAATTTTACACTTATCCATCATTTTTACGCTTATCCATCACGCAGAAACTCCAGCGACTACATACCACGATGAGTAATCTTTCTTACGGGACAGTCGCTACGACGTGAGGGACGAGGGGGGCAGTATAAACGCATTACGCGGGACCTTGAGTTTGTACGCAAGTGGTTTACACACAAGCGCGCACGCACGCACACACACACACACACACACGCAAGCACACACGCACACGCACGCCTGCACGCACGCACGCATACACACACACGCGCGCACAGGAAAGCACGCACACACACACGCAGACACACACACAAGTACGCGCGTTGTTTAGAGCGTGTCATTTTGATACAGCCGCTGCAGTTGCTATCGCGTCCCACAGGTATGTGTTTGGTAGACAGCCGAGATAAACCGTTGATGCGCGTAGCATAGATAGACCATGGCCGGGCTTTTACCACGGCCGCCGTAAAGTTGAGGACTTACGAGATAACGATCAATTTGTAGCTGCAGAAAACTGATCAAGGTCAATACCCCACTGCATCTCAATTCACAAGACAAGAAATTTGAACAGTCTAGGCAATGCCGCATGCAATGTCCTGCTCTTCAACCCCCTGTGGGAAGCGATTTCTTTTTACACCAATTTCCGCATTCGGCACAAATATCTAAGACGGCTAGCTGTTGCAAACGTAAATATTTACACGTGTGATATGTTTAATACAATGGATAAGCACAATAACAGCACATGAAATTGGTATATACATTGAAGATGTGAATAGGGTTGTGAACATTACATAAATTATTTTATGTGTAATCCATGAGCATTGAGTATCGTCGAAATATGCTGCACTGTGGATAAATATATCGTTCAATATAGAGAACATTCCTGCAAGGTATTATTACTTTGCAGTCAGGCATGAAATTATTTATTACATAGCACTGTGACTGTCTCTTCTTCTGGAAAACAAGACACACACAGGACTCAGAAATTCTGGCCACGAACAGATAAATATTCGATGAGTTACGTGACTTCACGGAATTCTGCAACAAATGCAGAACACTTCTCATGGTCCACAGAGGGCGCAATGCAAAAAAATCACCAGATAAAAATAGTTCACATACCCGTATCTGGAGCGGGCTTCTCCTGATTTTGTTCAGTAAGCAGAACGTGAAAGGACTGCCGTGATCGCTCCTTGTAGGGAGAAGCTGGCAGACCCTTCCTCTTACGTCGGAAGGCCGTTCTGCACTTAGAGTCAATGTTCAGCTTGATTCGGTGCCAGTCCTCTTCATTTATATTAAACATGTACAGCAAGTGACCTAAGCAACAACAATGCATTAATTTATGTTAGCAATAAACTAAACAACAAGTAGCTGTATTATAAGCCTAAGTACCACATTTTAATCCTGTATTGCGCATGAAATGTCTTCTAATTTCCCATTTTGAAACCTAGTTTAAGCCTTTTCACTGCCCATGCACCCGGTTTGTTTGTTTTTTAATTATTCTGAAGGCACCAACTAGTGCAAGAAAGCACGTGAGCATGTAACAGGCTGTTGCTATAAATATCAAATATTGCACCTTGTCAACAATTTCACTTTGGAAACCTAAAACCTTTATGGACAAATAGATTTTAACTGTCACTATTTTGGAGGAACAGTTGAAATTTTTACTCAACTTTGTGCACTGAAATAATAGGCATCACTTTCATATTCGAATAGAATCAGAAGACTAGAAACTTTAATTAGAAATGAACTAACCGACTAACAGGAACGTTAATTCCAAAAACCTGCAGGCAGTTTATTTTTAATCCTTATAATCAGAAATTAATAAAAACAAGTGCTGCAGAGCGACAGCGCTTATCTAACGTCTACTGCGGTGACTCTGTGGTAGAGTGGTGGGATTCTAGTAAACCCTGTTAGTCCCAAATGTGTTCACATACGCGCCGAAACAGTGGAAGGCACAGGGATGGTATCAGGAACCTTCTCAAAGGAATGCTCGTTGGGATCATTATGAAAGTTGCCACGAGATGGCGCGTACGTTTAAGTGTCTTAAGATTAAAGATGGAAGCTCCCATCATACGTAGTTGCAACAACTATTTGCAAGACAAAATAGGTAAGCACTCATCCATTTACCTACGCAAGCCTACAGGCAGAAATAGAGAGCTGCCACCTGTAACTAATTAACGCAGGCAAAAACTACACAGTACTATCACCACCACATGCACTGGCAGTGGCCACTGGCAGTGGCATAAGTTACATGTAACACACTGACAGTACAGAATGCCATAGAAATTATACGATTTAAGGAGCATAAACCTTCTTCAACCAAATTTAGCTTTTGAAATTTCACTGTGACATTGTAGCCTCATACATCCAGGCGTGTATAGATTCTACAAGCAAACCCGGCAGTCAAATTCGTTCTAACAGTAAACAAATCCATGTTTAACCCTCCTCTTGAGGGTCAAAAGGTTATCCGACACTTACTCTTCGCATGTCAGCAGAAAGTACATTTCATGGTCCTTTCAATAAAGCCATAAAAATGCTAGGTCACCGCTGAAACAAAAAAGTTTTTCAATCGCTCCGTCAGACCATGTCTTCAGAAAATGTCTAAAATCTGCCCTGTGCCCCATTGACCTTTGACCTGTGACCTCCAATTTCGGCACAGTTATGGCTTTTCCTACCATGATGCTATACACCGACTATCACGAGCCTAGGTCGAGCCGTTTAGATTTGTGCCGCAATTCTGCATTTCCTCCCTATACCTTAAGTTAAGGAGGGAATGTTCCCCCTTCTTTTACACCTCTTGACCTTTGACCTTTGACCTTTGACCCCCAGCTTCGACATCCCAACTCGTTTTCGGATTACCCCCCCACGTCCCGAATATCGTGACCGTACGTCGAGCGGTTAAGATTTGTGCCCAACTGTTGACGAACGGACGCACGGACGATCATGCGATTCTACAAGCTGCATCGGACTACGTCAGATGAGCTAACAAAAGTTTAATTCACTCCTGATACAATCTAGTCTCTCACTCAAACTGACAATGACACTCAGTCACGATGGGACATTCACATTAGCCTTGTAACAGAGAGTTCGGCAACATAACTGGGCGCACGACATGAACTCTACTTTACACCGCACACTAATGTACCTACAGCGCATTCGGTTCGCAACTTCGCAGAAACTCCTTTCAATTTATAAAGACAACCTTTATAGGTAGATAGAGCATTGATTTTACGTGTACTGTAGCGCCATCTGTTGGTGAATAATAACAAAAACTGCAAAGCAAAATGCATAACTTCACGTACATTGTTTATGTTATTAATATTTTACTAAATACTTACATCTTATTCCATAGATCATAAGTGGGTCCAGCTGCTTCTTGCCATATTTGCTGATACCAGAAATGTTTGATATAGCAAGTGTATCTCTATCAAATATTGCATCTAGCAACGCCAGTGCCATTTTTTCTGGGCTGGTCAGTACATTGATCGTTTCCAGCTCCCTGCAACAAGAACACATGCGTGGAGCAAATAGATGGGAATGCTACATAAGGGAATACCATCACTTTAGAATGTCTCCTAGAAATGTAAGGAATATGATGCGATATCGTATTTGCAAGCAAATTCAGGTCCAGAAATCAGATGCACCAGCTACAATCTTCAATCATCAAAGATAAACTTTCAATAACGTAATAAACGTCAACAAAAATGTTTGTTCAAAAGCTTCAAGTGAGTGCCAGGATGTCGCACACCTGCCAGCATAGTTCAATTGGTCCAATATGATTATAAACTCATGAATCTGCCCGTAGTAACTACTAATCAGACCAATAAATGTGAGCACTCGTTAACCAGTCCACCTTCTCCCCTCCCCTTCCATTCATATATACCTGCAAATTCCTACACAGCCTAATATCAATGTAAAACACTTGTAAGCACGCGTAGATTAAAGCAGTAATGTATACTTTCTGGTTCTTTAGTTACCAAATGCGATGACACTTTTAGCATTTCTGCAGCATTAACATGACATTCAATGCAATTGTATAAGCGTGCAATTTATTTCGTTCAGAGAAGGCATAATATACTGGGCCACGATAGTGGAATTGTGGTCCCACCATGAGGTAAACAATTTAACCTTGTAAATACAACGGCTGTGCACTAACACTGTTTTCTACACTCAAGCCATGTGCTGTTCAAGACTCCTATTTCTTAATTATAACGAGCGATCGTTAGCATTGATAGGTGAATGTAGATGCCTACCCTGGTCTAATGAAGCACCTGACTCGACACTCCGGGTTGTTTTCCTCGCCAAGCCACGAGCCATTCGGGAAATCCGCTGCATGGGAGAAATGTGTGAGTAGGATAAATGTGCAGATGCATCACGGGTGACAAGCGGGCTGAGTAAATGCTGATGTAGACCTAAGACATTGCCACATGGAACACATCAATCAGAGATTATCGATTTCTATGTTCTGCATAATTCCATGAGAAACCATCATTTCTGGACTTGGATTACATTACGCAGATTTCATACGTTTAGCATGCATGTGCTGAATTTTCTGAATGCATTCTATTGCAAGTTCTAGAGTTTGAGCCTTTCGGTTGCCACCGAGATCTAACAGGGAAATCTCTTGATACGAATGATCACACTACGAAACTTGTTGGCATACATATAATATATGCGCTCACTCTCACTGACAGTGTATGAGGATCCTGCCTCATGCCATCTCTTCATATTAGGATGATATGAGGATGCATGCAGGGGTAGAAATAAGGAGAAAATCTAGTTTGAAATTTAGATAGTCCTCCTAAATTTTAGATGGTCCTAAATTTCAAATTGTTCTCTAAAAGTAATGCGGTGTGAAAGGGTAAGAGAGAGATTTTACATGGTGGTAAAATAGTTTAATTATTCACCTGTACAATGAATATATTAAACGATACAGTAATTGTTTATTCACTTTAATAGTATATTGGAACGAGGAAACTTCAAAGAAAACTACCGTAAAATAGGACCAAAATATTCAATGGTCCATTGGACCATTGACTTTGAAAATCTGATGGTCCTCCTGATTATTTGATGGCCCCGGACCATCAGACCATCGCTTATTTCGACCCCTGGCATGGGAATTGCACCAAATAATCCGAACCTACAAATTTCCTTGCATGAAAACAGCTCCAATTGCACAATTACAGAACTCAATTGATCTTTTTCCATGGCAACATTCACAAACGAAACTATACACACTTTTGTTCAGTTGCAGGGTTTCTTATACATAGGAGGCACAGTGGTGCACCGCCGTTGTCAAATTTAACATCACCGTTGTGAAAACGTTCCTGTATTATTTACTGATAAGTATATTCTGTATATATATACCTATAAGTATATCAATACATCCTGTATTTGAATCCATCATGCACGTTTTTTGGATCATCGCGACTATGGAGAGAAGGTACTTGTGAAAACAGAGAAAATACACTTGAAAAAAATGGAGATATGGCAGCTGTGAGAACAGGAGAACAGAGAAATGACAACTGTGACCACAGGGAAAATCCACATCTATGGGACTGGCTTCCCCATGTAACTCACCTTCGCTGTTGAGCGTGATGAGAGCAATATTTGATGCGAGTTTACTCGTCATGGCCGGCTGCATCGATCCCCTCACTCCTCCCGAAATCTCTGCACTCTCGTGATACATCCTCCCCTCACTGTCAACCCCAACGGAAACTGCAAGGAAACAAAGCCGGATCTGAGCAATCGGTGTCTAATCACAGTATACGTCTGCGTGTACATACAGAGTTAATTTGCATTTATTCACTCTTAACTTTAGATATCAATGCTTCTTTAGTTAGCAGTTAAGATTTATCCATCGATGCAAAATACTGTTTGTAGTATCTTTGCGAATATATTTTGCCAGAGTTGGACAGACCAAAGCAAATAATGCTTGATCAACAAATGTGGGAAGATACCACTATTGTGATGGTATATTTTGGCAGTGAATGAATGGTGGGAGAAAATATCCTTTTGTCCACACTAACTACACTTTTTTCTCGCCTCCCAATCCTAGTCCTAAATGTTAAAGTTGGGTAGTTACACAAAATCAAATAATTTCAGAAATATAGCTGAATGCAGAATACTATGAGTATAAAATAAGTGACAGGTTATTAAGAACTCATACTACACATTTCTGCTTACCTTCAGGTTCATTGCGTTGAGGAAGTCCAATGATTACAGGAGCAGCACGCTTTTTCGGAGGTGCGACCCTGCAAAAGGCAATTAGAAAACATACATCTTCCAACAATTATAGCTTCACAAAAAAAAAATAATATCATCCCCACCTAACTATTCTATTATATAACTCCCCATCTCAATTCTACACGGTACCAGGTAAAGATTACACTGCTGCATACAAGACAGCAACAACGGTTATTAGGGCCATGCTCAAAACACTCAAATTACAAGCGCGAATGTGCTTACATGCGTGCAGGCTTGCGCATAGAATCCTGCACACTTGAGGAGGGATAGACAATCAATGGCATTTCGGCGACTGACTCGTAGATGTGGACCAGCTTCTGGTCAACGTAGTGACACTTTAGCGCAATCATGTCCAGACTGCTCTCGATCTTCTCCAACCGATTGCATACACTCGAATGTAGACCAAATAGTAGCTGCTGTAGAATGTCATGGGACAGGGAGAGGAAGAGAGGCAGGCATGTCAGTAATTAATAACAATCAACAGGCAAATAGTTAAACCTTAGGATTAAAACCACATTGACACGCCACGCTTATTGCTTAGAAACTAGTGTATATTAATCATACACTAAAAGAATATGTCAGTTGCAAAACACCTTGACATCATGGCTGCCATAAACTCGTCTCTCCTCGTATGCTTTTTGCTCCACCTTCTCCAGTTCGCTTTCTTCTCGTAAGAAATCTGTTTTCATTCGCTTAGCTGGTTGTTCTGTGGTCACGTCTTCCACAATCACTGCAAGCAGTATTAGGACATTATAGGCCATCTGATGTTATTTCCAAAGAATGTCTTCAAGTACTTATCACTTATGCCCACATCAGTATAAAAAGGAAGATCCCTTTCCCTTACTCTTTTCACAGTACATTTACCAATCACTTACATACAGTTACGTTAGGTATTTATGTTCCGTAATGTATTATTTCATGATGTTATGTAATCCTATAATGTAGCTTGTATTCACTCTGCAAAAATACCTGCCAATTCACTGTTCGCTATTCTTTGATCAGTAACAACCTCATCCGTGTCTCCATGACCCCCAACATCTGGCTGAACATTTCCAACTTCTGTCTCAACATGCTGCAATTTAGCATCACGCCTCGTTCCTCTTCTTCGTGGGCTCATTGCTTCTACAAAAATAAGCATGATTATCAATCCCATGGTTTTTCCTGTTTTTGCATAGAGACGTCATTCATCTCCCTTTGCGTAGTAGTAACAACAGATCTGTATATATGGAACAGAGATGTCATCAAGTACTTATAGGAAATTATGACAATGATGATCTCTTTTCGCAGCTTAGGAACCTACAGAGACAATGATGAAATATGGCAAAAGTTCATTGTTTTAAGATTGTATGTTGCTTCAGGCTGTTTATTTGCAGCGTTGTGGCAAGAAGTATAACTTAAGGGATGCAAACTGTAAATAGTGCTTCTCCTGAGGGGGCTGCTGCCATTGCCCAAGGGTATTCAAAGAGCTTACCCAAAGCTTAAAGTAGAGTCTAGGTGTGATATTATATTTACAGTTTTTTTTTTTTTTTCACCTAGGCAGTATGGGCATGCTATACTTATTTCTACAGTGTGGTTTCTATTCCTATTTTTAGATTATTTATAACATTCACTTGCCGTATAACATATTATTACTGAGATCAGTTACAAATTAGTTGCATTAGTAGATGTGCGAAAGCATCTTTAATATAAAGGAAATATATGAAAATCCATGGTGGCCACAAGTGCATACATAAATGATTGAGCAAGTTTGAGCTCATAAAAGTTGAGCCAAAATTGCAAAGCATTTGATCAAGTTGCAAAAAATGTATCAAGTTGACAGACCAACACTCCAGATTGTTAATAAATTACTATTTTACAAATGGAGAGACAGAAAGATAATGTGAGTATGGAATATATAATAGAAACAATAAATGAAAGTGTCAATGACACTGTAGCTCACCTTGGGTGTGATATAATAGGGAGGGGGGATATATAAAGCAAGAGTATATAATGGGAGAACTCCCATTATATAGCATATCTCCCATTATATACTCTTGATAATGATGATATATGAGTAATTTTTGATGCGAAAATAAATGTTTCAGATCTGTTGGCATACAATCTGATGGCGGTGACCGTAGGCAGATCGACACTGAAATGCATAGTGAAATTGCCAAAATCTACCTAATTTGCAATTTAAAAAATATATAAAAAACTGTGTGATATGTTTTGGGGCCAGTCCTTATTCATTCACATACCAGAATTGAGCAAAATCCGTTGAACCTGAACTGAGTTATGGCCATTTCCATTTTTGCCAAAAACATCTTGACGATGTCAAGGTGAGCTAAAAATTGGAATGAACCATTTAGAAACTGACACAAGGCAAAAACAAAGGGCATTGAACTACTAACTTCCATGCTTACCACCACCACTACTACCAGTGCACCACCAGCAGCAGCACTACCACCACCACTGCTAGTACCACATCATGATAAAACATGTAAAATGTTAAGGCACATAGAAAATGGAAACACAAGGAGCCAATTGCGTTCAACTAAAATACTTTCTAAACTATTCTTGTAGTTTTCAGATACCTAGCTGACAACTTCATGTATAGACTCCAAGAATGATAACCATTTTACAAATGTAATCAATCACAATATTAAGGATGCTACTTATGACAATAAAATATTTGTTAGTAGGAGTAGGAGATGAATCTTTATATAGTAAAGTAAGTGAGGTAATGTCAAGAGTTATTTAGAGAAGGTAAATGTGGACTTACATTAGTAAAGAGTATTGAGAGCCATGCCCCCAGATGATGCCTACTGGCCATTCAGCATCACATCATTATCCTAAATAAATTATTGATATAAGCAATAGTGGGTAGTAGAACTTAATACCTTGATTGTAGCAACTCACAACGGTCATGTAGGACTGGACCTAATAGTGCTGACAGGTAGTATGTTAGACCTTACACAACTTCCCTAATACACCACGATCGACACTTGTTGACCTCTGAAACACTTAATTTACTGCAGAAGTGGCAGTGCTTTAATGTTAGAGTAAAATGGTGGTGTAAAAATGAATTAACTTGGTATTTTTATGCAATATCTTTACACCTATGCACAAATTGTAAAGAGTTCTTCACCCTTCGTGCCACCCGATTTGATTAGGCCAAAACAAAATATAGGTGTGGTTACCGTTTCCCGACCGACCCTATTTATTCCCAGCAACCCTAAACATTTTATTGTCAATTTTCTTTTAAAGCAAAAAAAAAAAACTTTAAAAATATTTAAAAAAAATATGAATTGGACGTCACAGTTCCTGCTTCAAAAGGCACAACGCACATCCTTCGGACATGGTTCGTAAATAAAATGTTTCAATAAAATAAAATATTTTCACTACCTACCTAACCTATTTTTTTTCGGCATGAAACGGTAACCACACTTATATTTTGTTTTGGCCTTATATGGGATGTGGTCTACGCTGTTGACCATAAGAAACGATGACCGCATACTCTCTCCAACATGTACATAGGTTTGAAGTTATTGCATAAAAATATTAAGGTAACACATTTAACCAAAGAAATTCAAGTTTACCCAACTTACTATTTTACTACACTGTCACCAATAAAAAGCACCATAAACTTGAAAGACTTTTTCATTTGAAATCTGTACTGTAGGAAATGCGGCGTAGGTGGAAAGCGGAGGGAGCATAGATTATTAGGTAGGCTGTGTGCAGGGTAACACATACTACTCAGTTTCGATTTATATATGTGACACTTTTCCTAACACTAACCACGTCACAGTAACAGTATCGTTATCAATCTCATTTGACATTTACCTGATTTACCTGATTCCACCTCTCACCTGTAGGTTTGGAGTGGATCGAAGGGTAGCAAGACTACTGTCTTGTATAAATCCCCATCCTTACATATTCATCCACATGGCTTTTGAACGAGTTAATTGATTTAGCTTGTACTGCTTCTTCTGACAGGTTATTCCAGTGATTTATTACTCTAAAACTGAAAAAATGTTTCCTTAACTCTAGTCGTGCACGCGGAGTGAACAATTTTAGGCTATTGCCACGAGTACTGTTGTATTCCGATCTTGTAAAGAATTTTGTAGGGTCAATTAGTTCGTAGCCATTCATTAGTTTTAAAGTTTCAATGAAGTCTCCTCTTAGTCTTCTCTGTTCCAGTGTTATAAATCCTAGTTTCTCTAGTCTTTGTTCATAGGAAAAATGACGAATTTCTGGAATCACACGCGACATCCTTCTTTGCACCTTTTCCAGTAACACTATATCTTTCTGCAAATAGGGATTCCAAGATTGGACAGCATATTCAAGGTGAGGTCTAACCAGTGATTTGTAAAGCTGAAGGATTATTTTTTTGTCTTTATATGTTATAGTTCTATTGATGATTCCCAGTATTTTGTTCGCTTTACTGGCAGCTATGGCACATTGCTTACTGTTCTTAAGGGATTCAGTTATGATTACTCCAAGGTCCTTCTCTTGTTGTACTTGCTCCAAGATGTGCCCATTCATGTTGTATTTATGCTTTTGGTTGTTGTGACCATAATGGATACTTTTGCATTTGTCAGCATTGAACAACATTTGCCAGTCATTGGACCATCCTAGTACCGTTTGCAGGTCATGTTGCAGTGCTTCAGTGGCTGCTGTTGTGGATACTTTTCTGAATATTTTGGTATCATCTGCAAACTTTAATATATGGCTTGTGACATTTTCGTCTATATCATTGATGTAGATGAGGAACAGTACTGGGCCCAGTACTGAACCTTGAGGGACACCACTTGTTACCCCTAACCAATCTGAAAATTTCCCATTTAGGACCACTCTCTGCTTCCTATTTGTGAGTCATGACTCTATCCATCTACTGACCTGTCCTGTGATACCATGTGCTTGCAGTTTGTCGACAAGTCGTTTGTGGGGTACCTTATCGAAGGCTTTAGAAAAGTATATTGCATCCACAGGGTCTCCGTGGTCTACATATACTTTGTCACTAGTTCGAGGAACTCCAGTAAATTCGTTTGGCATGACCTACCACATATGAACCCATGCTGAGAGTCTTTAATTAGCTTGTGATGATTCAGATGGTCTACTATAGCTGCCCTGGTGTGACTTTCTAACACTTTACATATTAATTATTATAGAGGTTAGACTAAGTGGTATATAATTGATGTGTCTATTACAGCTCGTACTGCGTTGTTTGTTGCGACATGCGATCAGGAGTCTATCTTGTCCGCACGCAGACGTTATAACTCCGCTTTGCTAATCTGAGGGTGCGGGTTTAACCCATTACTGGGGTCTGCGTCGGCTCGGACTACCTAGGGTCTATCAATCACTGAATCAGGAGTCTGATAAGACTCCTGATGCGATTAATGGCCTTACTACGCTTAGAGGCAGAACAGCTCAGACATACAAGGAGCAGAATGAATTGTGATGCAACTAACTAGATCTAACATAGTGATCTATCTCTTGAACTAGTGACGGTCGTTTAAGTAAGACGCATGACAGGGAAATGCGGAAAATTTAAGTTTGGCTCACCTTTTCTCGTCCTCTCACAAAATCACACTAGCATCATGGTTCAATATCTCTCCGCAAGGTGGTGTAAAGTTTTGTATTGAAGATTTTTAATTATTTATAATTATGATTTATAAGATTGTATCCTATTTATAGAATTAACTCATAACTGTTATTCATAAAACGATAAGTTAACTTACTTTGTTCTAACAATTTTGAGTTACAGCAGCTGATTGTATTTATTCAGTGACTGTATCATCGTCAACGTCTGTTGTGTCATGGCTGGCTAACACAGCGGGTTGCCCAGTTTATCACTAACGATGAATGTTCATTCAAATAAAGAGGTGAAATCCCCAGAAGATGCAGATATTCAAGACTCCAAGTTTGCAGAGTTAGTGTCTACTGTCGACGACGACGGTCTACAAAGCACAGAGCTTTACGAGTTTAGTCGTACATAACAACCACATACTTTGACATACTCACATAGGCCTAACCTCTAACCCGACCAGGCTGTGTGACTAACGTCAATATATATGTATTCTAACCCTAGCAATACCGTTTCTTGGAGCTACCTAACCTCATAACCTCATAAGTGATAATCTTCAAAAGTCCTGGAGACTATAACGAAGATGGAGAGAGTGGATCAAGTCGGTAGACCCACACTGCGGATCGCAGCGGAAAAAGTTGTGAATTTGCTAGTTACCAAGGATGAAGGCAGTGAATTCCAATACGGAATCACAGAGACAAAGAAGCTAAACTTAAAGGGATCCTTAACTTAGAAGTTTGTACATGCCGAAAACAGCCCAGATAGCATGCTTACGTTGGGCCAACGTTGGCATTTGGTTGGCACGGTCACGGTTGGCAATATGACAGTTGGGCCAACGTTGGGCCAACGTTGGCACGGTCATGGTTGGCATGTGGTTGGCATCGACGTTGGCCAACGTTGGCGTATGGTTGGCATGGTCG